GGAAGACGACCGATTGGGCTGGTGCAACTCTATATTGTCAACCCATACGCCGATTATTTGAAACTGGAGAGCCACGCTACCAATGGAGGCAAAGGCAGCTGGGTCTAAAACCCGATACTTCACGAACGATTGACTTTTGAACAAGACACAAGTCGACATTTTGATCAGTGTTATGCCCACCAAAACGATTAAACACGGGAAGCCAGTATGGCATACGAGTGTTAAACTATTTTAAATTAAGTGCCTGGTAGCCTGTGTCCCGAGGACGTTAACGCTCACAAAAGAGTGATAAGAGGTCAAGGGACACCCTTTTTCTTATTGTCCCAGGTGCACTGCAAAGCATTTCATTTCAGCAACTACACATGTCCCTATCTGATGAAATGAGTAGAAAACCCAATAAGAGAACGGCCTTCCGACTAATAGCCTCGTGAACGTTCTAATAAAACTGTTTAACGTCTTATTATAGAACTGCTTTCTCTTAAGAAGACTTTCTCTTAAACTCGAAAAACTATATTTTAGGATAACTTAGAGTGTTAAAAATTCGAAACTTCATACTTCAACATAACTTTCTGATGATGATGATGATATAAGAGACGGGCATCCTAAATAATAAAATATAAGTAAATGCTAACGGTAACTAATAAATCCTTACAACCTGTCTTATACTGTAAGTTGTTTTGTATTTAGTGATGTACACTGATTATTACTACAAAAAAGCCAGCGGAGAGACAACAAGATCAGTCAGAAGAGAAGGACCTATAAATTTTATTCTGATAACTAACTGCCATTTGGGTCCTGCTTTAAGCCTAAAAATGCCCTAGCTCTCTCTTTCGGCATATATATCAAATATTTCGTAGATCAGCGCATCTTAACAACTGGTTAATCAGCACCTGTCACTACGCTATAAAGTTCATATAGTCATACTTTAATAAATAACGCCGGATAATTCTGTCCTAAGCCTGATCAGAAAAAAAAGATAAGAGGTTTGCAATGCAACCTGAAAGCGCTGTGCAGCACCAACTCGAAAACTTCAGGCTCATGTTCTCAAGTTTTCATTTAAACAGTAATCTTAGATCTTGTACTGGTAGACCACCAAATTATTTCTTACTACACATTTTCCTCTAAGCTTTGTGTTTAATTTAATAATTCATTAGGAACAATAAGAGAATACGATTAGTGAGATCTTCAAAAATTCAGTTCTATTGCTAGGTATATTCCTAAACTGTATTGTTATCACAACTAGAGCTATTAAAAACCTTTTCTTCATTGCGAAAGACTAGCGATGCATGTAATCGTTAAGCGGCTTACATAGAAACGTACACGCTAGACGTCGTAGTATGACCTACATGTATAGTTGTCAAGCAATTTAAAAGTAGTTTAACGAGGAGAAGGGATGTGCAATTATATGCATGTAAACCTTGATAGCACGAAGATGCCCAAATTGGCACTATTTGTACCTAAAATCTGGACAACTTAGAGGTTCGAAAGGCGTCTTATTACAATTAATTGTGCTTTAGGGGGAGTCGAATCGGTCTCAGGGCAAAGGCCGGAGACGAAGCCGCGGCCATCGACGCAACTAAGAATCGCGAATTTGGACCAGAGGGAGGAGCTAGACCATATATTTGTTGTACAATAGAATGTCAGAGAAAAATCTTGTTCTTTATTGCCGTTATTACTATTTGCCCTTACCAGCATTGATGTCATCTTACTCACTGAGATCTGGGAGTCAAAACATTCTGAGTTGCCGAGTTTTTTTATGACACCTGTTCCTCTCCACACCTATGTGCTGAGCGAGGCCGCCTTAATCCGGAGATATCAATGCTTCGAAACTAGAGACTTGCAAAAATACGCATTGCGATTGCAAAGGACGACGCAGCAGTACTGATTGGCACTATATGTAGTATCATAACAGCATATGTTGCCCTCCGAGCAGCGAGAACACGACCATATTTATAGATAAGATCATTCATACTACTTATACATATATGCTGTGCACATACAAGCGCTACCTTCACCAGCTATCTATACCTTTTATACTTGCTGGTAACCTGAATAGACCATCCAAAGGTATGTTCGTAGAAGCAGATATTATCTGTCGAATCCTTCCTTTGTACGTTAGTGCTTAAATGAACAGGCATCAATAATGCGTGAAAAGCTAAGAGCTAAACTGTTCGTTTTTAAACTACTCGGCTCCCTAAAACAACTCCAATGGAACAAAGCGGCTGGACCAAACCTAAATCGCAACACAAAAAACGCGCTTGACTGGCCGAAATTATTCAATGCTTGCTTACGACATAGACATTTATCGACAAGCCGGAATGAAGAGCCACATCAAAAAAAAATGAAGGTAATCCGCTCAGTTAACCTCCATGAATGACAATAGCCAAACAAAGCTATTACGAGCGTCAAGCTTTTTAACATGTCGGCTAACGAAATTCGTGCAAGCTTGTTTATGTACTCCGGCTAAATAGAATGGATTTCGTACAGGACGTTTGCCCTTACAACGTACGACATACTGCTTTAAAAGGTACACCATGTCTGTCCTAAACCAAAGCAGGCGTTCTTCACGATACTTACGGATTTTAATCCGGCGTTTGATATGGCTCCCGAAAACAATTCAATAAAATTTGCAGAATTCACAGAACACTTTGCATTTAGTCTGGGCAGTATCGCAGCAAAACCTCATAAGTATAACGGCATGGACTAACTAGAGCCATTCGTTCAATAAACTGGCGTTGCATAGCATGCCTGAACCATCTGCTATTGTCTCTGCTGCTAAATGACACATCATTCCCTGTTTAAAATCTAACGGATTAGGTAAAAACGACGCTGTATGCCAGCGATCTTGCCACCTTTGGAAAGAGCCGGCTTCATGCTCAGCAAGCTCAGGTAAAACTTTCGCGTTACGTAGATGTCGCTGAACTGTTGATCAGTCTAGAACAAGACAGAGGTCATGAAGTTCTATTTTGGGGACCACTGTATTATCTCCTATACGCTCCATATCGGCGAAACGACTTTAAAGTAAGAGAATAGGTTCTTATCTTGCCTATAAACGGCCGAACCGAATGCGATAATCGATCATCTCTATCGTGGGAGTTTCATGCCCTCAAGACTCCTTGTGCAAGGTATTTACCTCAAAAGGCAGTCCCGATCACTTTCTATAAGATCCAAATTGTTTGGAATCACTTTTCATCGAAGCAACTCAAACGTTCATTTTTAACGCACTCCGTAGACCTATACCGTTCATCATTTAACACATACGTGTGTTTTCTGGGCAACACACAGCTATTTGCAAAAGATCTAAAACGCAGATACCAGCTTTCCATCATCCCTGCGTGTTTTGGGTTCATCGTGTTCGGGACAGAATATGGCAGAGATCGATCCTGGCTTTGATATTACGAGACCTATGTTTAACGAGGCTTGTAAAGGGCTGGACAGAAAAACCGGGTAGATAACAGCACGTTTTGATGTTCATAGATTTCACCATATCATACATGGTACTGTGGATTTTTATTTGTCGGAGGCTACAGGTATCTGCACAAATATGACGCAATATGTTTTTGGTGCCACGTGCTAGTAGGCAAACCAGAATTTTAATAGCGTTTCATGCTTTTGTCCAATAGAACTGTATTACTCTAAGCACAGATATTTTATTTTATTTTACCCAAAGTTGTTATAAGAGAAGGAGTTTTATTTGATCTCTAAAAGCACAAACTAGCTGTCCGTTGTTTTATCTTCGCATTGGTAAGCGTCTACACAAGCAAAGTTTCATTTCACTTAGAGCTTTCTCAAATCTGTTTTGAGGCCTTCCCTTTAACCCCTACCCAACTCATTCCCATCAATCCGTTTCCCAAACAACTTCTTGCAACACCTATAACCTTATGGCCCGGACCAGAAGCCACCAACGGCAACGAAGCGACATCCTTTGCACAAACAGGCTTTTGTGTAAAGCGCATTTCGTGTCGCGGAGCGAAAACTGCCAATCCACTCATCGATACCTAGCAGAACAGTTACTCAGAAACTAGTGATGTTTGCTGAATACCCGTTCATAGAGTAGCAAATATGTCTTCAGCGCTGGCAACGTAAGTCGAAATAGATCGGACGGAGTTAGGACAGACAATCCCTTCATAAATTCAGGTGAAATCTTATAAAGCTCATTCGCCTCTTCGGTAACCCCGTGCAAGTGCGGGACCACTGCTGGTAGCCAGACTAAAAGGATGAAGTCATCTTCTCAGCGATCTCCAAGCGGACAGAGATACTTTACAACAGACCTGATTGACGCCTAATAAACTCTGACATTACCCCTCCCCCCTTTTCTAAACCGGACTTCCAGCACACGCTTTACGGAGTCTGGGATTACTTTCACTATGTATTATAATAAAAGAAGAAAAACCAACGACAGCGCGGGGCGCGGTAGAAATGTGGAAGGCGTACGACTAGTTTCATTGGAAGCAAACTCCAGTTGACATTGTGATCCTTTAATGATTGTTATTAAAATTATATAGGCTATAATCTTTGTTCTCTCTGAAACCGCCACCTAGAGGAAAACTTTATTAAGCTTTATTAAATTAGCCATAAACGTTAATCATTTGAACACGAAGTTTCTGTTTAGCTATATGTCTTTAAATATATAGCGAAATATAGTACACAATTGCTCATTAAACTATCAGTTACTCGAAGGAATAACCACTCTAAATATTTTGCATACTATTTCGTGTTGCTATTTTCGAACGTAGTTTTCCAATGAAACGTTTTCTTGTATTTTTCAATCCGCGAAACGTTATGTCTATCGTATTCTGGGCGAATATAACACTATATGGAGACCACTCTTCAGGCAAAAATTTTTACAGATTTATACATATGTGATTTATGAACATATTAAAAGACCTACGAACCTTACAGATACTTGATCGGGTTGAATACTTAAATTAAACAATGTGAACTTTATTATGGAAGAAGCACATTCTTTCAGTATTAAAAAATATCTTCAACTCTACAGCCTAGTTTCTAAATAGACAGCACTGTCTAGTCATTTTTATTTTGTTCTTGTCACCGACGTAAAGACCGGTAATATAGGTCACGGACCTCACGCAAATTTACAACAGTACTCTTGTTTTTTTGACTGAAGCCAGTTGTCCTTAATGTATGACTACTACTAAACCGCTCAGTATGGTGCATGATGAATATTAATTCCATATCTCACGGTGATGCTATATTATAACGGTGCAAAATTTCGTGACCTACTATAAGAACATTGAAACTCTAGTGCGAAAAATTTGTGACATTGGAACTGCTCGCAACGTCGTACATTCAAACAGTACCCAACTTCCGAGTTTCTTTTTGTAGACATATACATGTTTAGATAATATAGTCGTTTATGGATTCTTTCAAACTAAATAACCTGCAATCTTGAACTAGATAGTATATAAATAAATCAATTTCCATGAAAGTTACGTTAAAACGGTATTCGAAAATTGTTCAGGCTCCTGAAAATATGATGAAACATTGCCATTAGTTTTCGAATACAATCCGCATTTTGTTTTATATTGGAAAAACTCCGGAGTCCGATTTCTTTTCCACCTCTCTGTTAATAAACTAAAGAATACAAACGCTAGTGCAAGCGGAATATATTTATATTAACCAAAACGCGTTAATCACTGCAGACCTAGATTTTCCATTTGTCGTTTTAGTATAATTTCATCCTCATCGCCATAGACAGGATCAGGAATATCTGACACTAAATCAGCATTGAAGCGAATTATACTAAGGTCGTTAAACACGTCTTGGTAATGGAACACATTCTTCAGAGACACCTGAAATATGCAAAGTTTGTGTGCTATATATAACGGTTAAAAAACGGTGCCACAAATGCAATCGTTTTCGCTAACTTCAACGCTGATGCTGCAAGCACCAAAATGCAGCAATCAACTTATTATTATATCGCAAATTAAGAATATTAATAAAACAACCTGAGTGTCTAATTTTATGACGAAAACATTCATTCGTTCATTAGGCTGTTAGAAGCGAATCCAGCAGACTTTGGAGCGAATAACTTTTGAACTAGTTGGGTTAAAATTATGATTTCTAATCTAATAAAATTACTCTTGTTCATTTTTTACGCATTTGTCCCAGTGTTCTGGCAGCTTCTGAACAGCCATATATCAAACATTAACGATTCCATACGTAGTTTCTCTATTTGTGGCTTCTAAGTGTAAATTGACAGTGGAATATGCTTGCTCAGCAGTTGCCCTTTTTGGGCTATAGAAAGCCTCGTAATGACGTAGGATTAAATCGAAAGATAAGCGGGTTAAAGCCAACACCAAATATTCCTTTGCTTAACATAAGAAGTAATTGAGACATCGTTATAAGGTCTGACGTTGATATTTGGTAACAAGTAGCTAGACATCGTGCTTTCGATTGCCCTGCCAACGATCTACAAGTAGTATAAAAGACTCGAAATAACGGTCTGCATTCATTGTTTTATTTCTGGAAAATGTTTCATAGCGAGCTCTGATATCCCTTGCAAGTTCTACCATCGCATTACGTCCAAGCCATTTTCCCGCTTGGTCCCTCTCCGGCTAGCCGTAGAGACTGAACCATGACCCTTCTTCAATGCTGCGTTCTTCTTCGTTCAACACACATCTCCGTTCTTGAAATGTGTACACCCCTCATATACTGCGCTGAGACCTTTATTTAACGAACTTTTCGCAACGTTGTGGATTTCGAAGAACAAAGATTTGACCACGTTCACCACTTGAACGTTGATTTTCCTGAAGCAAGCTTAACCGGTTTTCACGCACAATTTTCTATAGTATTTACCAGTTATTTCATCTGGTAGCGGCGCATAGTTGAAAAGCTATTCAGTCTCAAAATTTACCGGATTCATTTGTAACAGCCTAATAACATTTGATTACTCAAGTCGCTAGCAATCTTGAATAGTCGTCTTCAAAATGACAAATAACAGCATAAACGGACCTAATTGTGGCCTCTCAAAAGATTAGTTTGCTTAACCAAATTTATTTTGAATGCGATGTTTTCGCACAGCTACTTGCCTCTTCAAATATATCCTGACATCCTTTTAGTGCAGGATATTTTCCTCGCCGCATCCTGTTTTCAAACTCTACGCTGCCAAATATAGTTCGAAATGAATTGCCGTAAATTGTCATATGACTTAGCTGATGTCTAATTGATAAACACAAAGAGCAGTACGATGAATATAGAATTAGAAACGGATGGATTTTTCATGACTTTTTTTATTCAATTTACATCGACCACTTTTCATACCAAATCAGATCCTTTTACATTCAGAAAAGATTTAACAGTACCGATCTTGCTTTAAAAGCGTCTATTTTGATTTGAAATTGGTATTTATCCATACAATGTAATACGTTTAAAAAGGTAAACAAACAAACAGACACAATACCTGTTGGCATAAAGAACACTATTAAAAAGAGGTCTACCACAGTGCGGCATAAAGAACAGCGTCTTCCTGCCAGCAAAGGCGAGACGGCCCTCGTTGTTTTCGTAAAGGGTTTCAATTCCGACGTCTTCTAATACGCGTCTATCGGAGCTAGCAAACAAGGGATCATAAGCGACACAACTTAAAGGTTCGAGCTGCTCCTTCAATAGAAAAAGCATTGCAGTTTGCCATCGTGACGTCATACTGTAGCATGTCTGAAGTGGATAGGCAGAGATAAAGAAATATATATATTTAGTTAGATTTGTAATCAGGTAACGGCACTGTAACAAAAAGCACAACCGCATTTCCAATAGAACTTATATGAACTTTTCAGAACTGATCGCATTTTATTTTAAGACGCCAAATGTCCGCTAGTGAAAATATCATGAATGAATATCATATCCAAATGTATCCACTTTTATTTTGGTACGTGCAAAACCAATAGCTAGTACCACTTTTTGACACCTGCGATTAGAGCTTCGGCAGATTTAACCTCATACATCGATTACCGCTAATCAATATACAATCTTGTAAGTCCAATCTAAATTATGAAAAAGGCTAGCATTTTGTATGTACATAGGAGAAGCTTTAAAATCAACGTTTACGTATTGCTTCAAAGTATAGCAGTTGAGTTCTGGCAGTACCACGAACTCATCGAATAAATTGTCTGTCAGGGAGACGTTGCATTATTATATTTTAGACGTGATACTGAACACTGAAAATACGTTTTCTAAGGTGTATTATATATATCTACCATTGACTCAGTAAAGGTGAATAGAACTGAAATTGAAAAAAAATTAAACCTAATCGCGCAGCTATTTAGATAGCAGATAGAGAATCGTTGTAAACATACCTGACCAAGCCCCAAGCAAACGAGAACTTCGAAAGAATCTGTTCCGAGAACGTTTTTGACTTGGTTCCAGTATTCCGACGAAGCTAATTCCTGTTTAGCCCGTTCTAGGTCAGATCTTACGACAGCGTCATCTACAGGCTCGGTTTCTTGTAGACACTGATTGCCGCTCACTAGAGACAAATGGTACTCAATTAAAAAATTTAATAACTAATTTTAATAAAGTAAAAAAACTCATAGTGCAAAAATGTATTAACTGGTGCTTAGAATTTCAGTTTGGCAGATGAAACCAGATACGTTAATGACCTCGGATACACGTAGTTAGGGTGAACGTACCGGCCGCTGTAGCAGTCGTTAGTACCTTCGATCGACTTTTCCGCGATTTTGTTACCAATACAAAATCTCCCATCTGAAAATTCAGGCCAAAAATCAAAATGCTAGCAGTGCGTACAAATTCGCTGGATTTTAGATATTCTCCTAAATTGTAATTGAAGTTCTGTCGTGATAAATTTTCTGTATTTGTTAGATGCTGATCGTGAAGCGATAAGTCAAAATCACTTAATGCATCTGCGCCAAGATCTCATTGCATGGAACTTTGACTTCAGGCTAACCCTCTCAGATCTCTGACAAGGAAAGCATTCAACATTTGCTCGTTAAAGAATTTCCCAAAGCGTCAGTGACGACATATAGTTAGGCCTTGCCTCTCCCTTTTTTTGTAAAACAATAGAACGTGACAATGCATACAGGCGTTAAACGAAGGTATATAAGTATAAATTACAAAGCGTTACTCTACAGCGTCAAAAGGAAATCAGGTCAAATCCAAATCATTCTGGGTACGTGCGTCTAGGATAGCATGTTGTACACGTATCGATTTCTATGATGCGCAAGTCTATACATACGTTTGTATTTCGATTTGAGAACATAGTGCATGAACAAACACAGAGTAAATGATTCTGCATCCACTTTCCTTTTTATCGCGTGCTTTTACTGCGAGGATTACGTAATCTGTAGATGTGACAGGCTTTATACGATGATCTATTATTGAAATCAAAATACGCTAATTTCTAATATAAGAAGCGTTTCGTCTAAAGGTAGAAAGCGAATAGGCTCAAAAAGACACTGACCGTTCAATAGATTATGACCTTTTCATAATAACACACCATATTGGAACATTTTTTCGCCATTTTTATTACTTTACATTTAATAACTATTTTAATTAGTTTCTTTTTCGTTTTCGCTTATTATCTAAAACATGTTTTTTGCTTCTGTGGGTGTTGATTTTAGTGTTTAAAGATTAGAATCATCCTAGCCAACTCTCGCTGCCTCTTGCACTACCCTACTGAATTCTATATGTTATTAATTTGTCTACATGAGTTCATTGAGTTAGTTTTTCTTTCTTTTCATTTCGTCCTAATTTGCTTATGCAAAAAAGATTAAAAAAAAAGATATTTACCTTCTTTCTTAGAGACGGTAATGAACTCATATAGTTCTTTGGTGTAACCCTTTTTAAAGGCTAAACTGTCTATAACTTACTCTGATCAAATAATTCAGCATAGCGCTTTCTTTGATTGCGTATTTTTTTGCTTAATAAGCTTTAGCAATTGTGTAAGATATGACGTTGTTGATAAGGCTCGTTTCCAACATTCATTCAGCGATTTGTCGACAAAAGTAAGCAACGAAGGAAAGGCACAATGAGTCATACACAGTTTTGTCATCGTTGTCGTATCCCAGAGTTTGACACACATTCTTGGCTGCATGTTGCATATATTTTATTATGATAGTACTCTGAGCCTTCTTTTATAGGTGTTGTACATTACAAGAATTCACTTTGCACGCGTTATTTTTTGATCATATAATAATAAGAATAATAACCGCCAGTCTAGTAACGAGTATAATAGCGATAACAATCACAACTATTTTTAAATAGTACATTTCAATAGTAGTATACATACTAGTCACTGTTGCTCTAGCAAAAATAGTCGCAGAAACGAACAGTTGAACGCAACATTGAACATCGAAAAAAAAGGTTTACCCGAAAGGTCACTGAAAATTTTGCTAGTTCCATGGAGATCTTTTCAAAACAGAGCCTAAACGAGCAAACAAAAATAAAAAAAAAGATGATAAAATATAATAGATACAATATCGTGGATATATTAATAATGTTTAATTATATATTTTCGTGTAATTAGCGCTGGATGCAGTATGTCGATGCACTAACATTTATTTTTAAATTCCATTAAGGCTAGCAAATCTTTTAATTTTAATAGAATCATAAGCTTGGCCTAAAACGGCCTAGTTCAATTAAATATAGCGAGCGACTTAGATAAAAATATATGACAAAAATGATATACAACACTGCAATTCCTAAGCATTAATGTTTCGCCAGCTTTCAAGCGGAAATAAAGTCTCTTAACCCATAACTTTAATCACATATCAAGAGTGTAAATAATGTCTCTATAAGAATACTACTTTCTTAGTTGACAAGTCAGTGGTATGCGTACACAGCAAAAATGAATTAAGACGAGTTTAGTCTCGACAATGTGACATCCCAGACATCAACAAACAATATATTGGTATAATCTATATTAAATGCATTAGTAAGTGCGACAATAATTTCCCTAATTTTTAATTATCGTAATATAGCAAGAAAGCGATATTTTAGGGGTAACGGTTGCAAAAAGTCATCCAACAGTCTCTAATACTACTCGGTGGAGTTCACACCGCTTATAGGAGACGTTCAGTACCTCTTAAAACAGTTAATACTGTAATGTCCCGAACAATTAGACTAAATATGTTAGCCGTTAATCTGGCTTCCATCAGCGCTTGCCACATGAGTGATTTATTTTAATGTAAATGCCGAAGCCATCTGTAGTGTGCACTCCCCTTTGAGTACAAATGCAATTTGAACACAATAAATAAACAAATTATAGACACGTCTTTGAATACAGCGAAAGCATAACTCCAGTCAATATTAATCAATACATTGAATATTACCGTTAAATGAGCGAAAGTTTTGACAAACAGGGGACTTAAACTTAAGTTCGCTTAGCGAATTTCGAACTTCGAGCGAATTTAACAATTATACTTCGCATACAAATGCGAAGTATAATTGTTAAATATACAATTGTAAATACTATGAAGGAGGTTCCATAATGGTCACTTAGGCAGCTACAACAGAATGTATATTTAAAATAAAAATTGACCATCAACAAAAGCTGCTTGTTCATCTCAGTGTATCATTATTTTTTCAAATATTTAACGTGAAAAAGTACCATTAATCGTAGACCTACAGCGGTACAAAGGATTCCATGGAAAAATCTGGCGTTTTCCGTTTTACCTTAAGTTCGAAGAGACCCGAAAAGTTGTCCCCATGGAAGTAGAGGCGTCTATCGAAAGTTAATGATAACGATGGCCGTACACCAATGTGTACACATCATGGTCATCATATAAATGTACCAAAGATATTTTCTGTCGCTGTTATGTAATCCCATATCTAGCGTTGGTTTATAAACATCCAAGCAAGCCCGGCACCGCAGCAAAGTGCTCCCACGGTGAGAAGAGCCGTGGGCATCCTACTAGCAAAAGGTGGTGCGCTGTTGGGAGCGGATAATGCCGCCTTGAGCATGCCACTAGGTCCCGATGTTGCCATGACATCCTCATTGCTTCCATTGCGATCGGTAAGGAGCATATCACAGCTGGCTGCCCGTATGTCTTGGCTGCATCGCAAACCGCTCTCAGCAAGGCTGGACGAATAGTTATGTACGCGATAGCCGCGAAGCTCAGCGAAGAACGGCGAAAAAGCGCTCTGCGGGAATAGGTCAAAAGGAAAAGTTTCCTCCTTGATATTCCGGAGTAAGCGTTTTAATGTAGTGGCTTTAAAGGTTTCATTATTGGGGGCTGAATACGCGGAAAACACGGGTTCGCAAGCGGTACCACCGGAACTGCTAGCTTGGTCGGCAACCAACTTATGCAAGCTATAGCCGATAATAAGTAGCTCCGAAAGGCGATTATGTTCTTCGTATGCGCTAAAGATTGCTTCAATAGCGGCAACGTCAGGAGAAGGAGCAAAGACAAGGGTTGGACCCGGAGCCCGCACCGTATTTTCAAGCATCTCAATATCTTCAGGTACCCCTGCATCCCCACGGTGAACGAACGCATGGCTACGAAGACTCTCCTTCTCGAGGTCGATTAAAGATGAGTCCAGAAAAATTCTGAAAACAGTAGATCATTCCAATAATATCAAACTTCCGTTATCAACGAATAAAAGGACAGAATGAACTAAGGGTCCAGTTAGGATGATCGAATTTGCTTTTGAACTTAATGAATAGCCTATCTATTGAATTTGTGTTAGCACGAAAACATAAATTACTTATGAGATTTATTCGCTAAACGAGATACTGTACTTATTAAAGGATTACGGCCAAGCAGACGATGCGATAAAATTTCGCTTTATATCTGATATACATTATTAGAATAAGAATTCAATTAATTTTGATACAGATTTTCATTTTTTAATAACGGATTTTGCTGATTCCATATTAGCACACTAAGATCGATTAAATCAACGATTTTACCATATGCAACAGGTTTAACACGTAGAAAGCAATATATCCTGCTAAACGTAAACTATGTGCTTGTTTAACTTCGTCGTTCTTTTATTTGCTAGATCCCAGCAAAAAAAAATAGTAATAAAGTTCTAAGATGTATAACTGCCTCAAGATGTGTGCAGTATGTAACGACTGCTAGCAAAAAAATATAACACTACAGAAATTTGAACTAGCGGCATAATAAAATAGCGGTTTTATTTGAAATCGTTCTTTTTTTATAACAGAATTTTTCAGGTTGAGAAAGATAAAGTCTCTTGAAAGCCTTACAGTCTTTTTATAGATTATTCGTTTTATGAACTACCAAACTGTTGTAGAGCTAGCCAACTGTATGAATCATGACTGGAATCTAAGTGCGCAAGCCGAGGTGCTAAGTGATTGGTTACTACATCAAAAACATCGAAAAGCACAGCTTACCGTCGTTTGGGAACTGCGATCTCTAGCAGTAGCTCCATCATTGCCGCTTGCCAAAGCGACTTAGAATTCTGAGAGAACCTCCCAAGAGGTAACACCACAAAACTTTCAACGCTACCCTGTCCAATAAAATCCTTGATTGGAGCCGTTATCAGACTATTGTTTACCAATTCAGTTCGTAGTTCATATATCTTTGCGCTAACAAGCTTTGACGCCGCGTCCATGTCTGAGCTATCACTTCGAATGGTCTTTCCCCGCGCTGAACTTCGATTGATATCCCGCCCTGTCACCCTTTTCAGAGGCAGCTGTTCACCTTTTTCCTCGCTACGTTCTTTAGGGGTACTCGTCTTGTTGACTGAGGTCTCAGCACCAGATGATAACCTACTCGACAAGCCGCTTTTGGTATTGGGAGTGCCATTCGTCTTCGGCTTTTCTGTTTGTCGATTGCCGACGTTGACCTTGGCCTTAGCTAAATTTAATGAAGTCTGCTTATCAACACCACTCAAAGGTTTTAAGTGGTCCTGAGAGCGTTCTTTCTCCGCGTGTATCGCCTGACCTGCAGCAGTATGGTCAGTAGTCTTTCGCGTCTGTTTGATAGTTGCGCTTGATGCCAGTTTTTTAGGGCCTACGGGACTACGACCTGAAGTGGTTTCCGTGCGAGAAACAGGTGTTGAACCTTTACGAGCCACCTTGGGGCTTCCACCTGAGCTTAGAGTGGATCGGCTTCGGGCACTAACGTTCGACACTTGACGCGTGACGCCGACCGGGCGACGTGACGAACCTTTTGAGTTTGCGGACTTTTTACTCGTCATCGACGAATCCATTGCAAATGACTGATTTAGAAACAGACAAACAAAAAACTATAACGGGTCCCTTTTTCTTTTTGTGCACTGTTGAACGTATCCGGTAACGGTACGCAAGCTTTTTATAACTATTTTTACCTATATGAATGGACCACAATGAGCCTAAAGGGTTAAGGCTGGCTTACCCTTGTCCCTACACAGTAGCTGGTCAATCAACAACAGACATATGCATACAATGAGCATCCCTTACCACCTTTATGCACGATCGAACAACAAGCCGCAATACTGATCCCATCAATAGTTGTTGCTCAACGGTAAGGCAATGTCAATCGCTAATAAACATTACCCACAGTACGAAGTCGACTGGAGCGGTTCCGCCAGGGGGCTGACGATGCACATGTATCCAATGCTCAACGCACCAAAGAGTCAACCATTGCGCCCCGACACGACCACAAAACAACATACACAGACAGTAAATTTGTTATACTAGTAGCAGACGACACGATTCGGATAGAACTTCACTGCCACCTGGTGATGATCCAGGAAACATTTTGCAATAGATTCAATGTTTCTACTGTAAAGGAATATAGCCATTTGAGTAATGCTTATTGGTCAAATGCTAAGGGCAGGGAAGTAGAGAATATCATATATGGAAGAGTGAAGTATTATATCACTAGATTAAAAACATTAACACTTCTGAAAAAAACAACAAGTACAGTAAAATTAATTCAGTCAGTAATTTTCATAATAAGACCTTGGAGAGTCAATGCGGTACGCGTATACCGTGTACCAACAACCACGGAAAAATATTTTGCGTTTCACGTCCAGTAAGCATTGCTCTGGATGACCGGTTTTTTCTAGCATAAATCGTAGTGTGTCGACGCCCGATTTTAAACCTAATTACCTTTGTATGCGCTTTGAATTTGTCTAGTTTATTAATCAAACTAAACAAATTCAAAGTTCTCTGCAAGAAGAGGTATAAAAACGTAAAAATAATAATTCAGTTTTATTAATGCAGATCGGCCGCTAGAGAATTTCTATAGAATAATGCTTTTCATAATAGAGAACAAAGAACATATACGAAAAAGGTACCTAATAAAGGAAAAAATACGTCTCTATCTCCTTTTTAAATAAAAATGTTGTTTTCGTTGGTGCATTAGGAATTGCTATCATTGAAAGTACCGCAAATTTAAACACGTAAGAATTTGAAGTACCATGAAGTTAATGTTTTCAAACTCATTTCCGACGAAAATGATTACAATGACTCTAAGCAAAAAAAGAGAAAAATTATAAGTCTGTGTTGTCTCGATCTTTGCCCTTAGTCTCCGTTCTACCTGTTGATAATATTGCTCACGGATCTTATTAGCCAAATGACATTTTGGGAGTAGTCCATAAATGAAAATAGCGCAGTAAATATGTTGCCAAGCCTAAGTCAAAAGTGTATTACCTTTTTATTTGATGTCTTCCGCAGTGTTGTTTAGGTTTTTACTCTACCATCATACACTACACTAGAACGCTTTCAGCAAAAACGTCGCATATTACAAAATTCTAGATTTACTTGTTCGACTCACCGAATCTGCTTTCGAGTATTATTACTATGGTGCTGCTGTTTTTGGATTAAAATAAATATAATATAAACTATTCGCAGAACACCTGAGTCATGTGTTTATAATAGGCTATTCTTCTGATAAACAGTTCATGTTGTTTTTAAGATCGATGAACAAAAAATAAACGCGTTCTGTTCTGTTTATTACACATTATACATTAATACATACTGGCTAATCTTAACTGCCTCATGAGATAAAATTTTGACTTCTAATGAGCGAATTTCGCAAGTAAAATTTAGCAAGCCTGAATTATAT